CGGAACATTCAAGGCTTCGCCCTGATACGGACAGTCTTTTGGTTTTTAAAATTAGGTTCGTTACTTTGTTAAAAAATCTTTTTGCGTAACTGTACTCATTTGGAAGCCGATCGGGCTTATTTTTTTTCTGTTGACACAAATACGAGACTCTTCTTTGAACCAAAATAGGTCTATATTTAGGTGACCTACAATTTAATACCATACAAATTAACACCGTACATTTTAACACCTAGTCATTTTACTACTTAACAATTTAAATCGACAACAAGTGAATTCCTATTTTCCAGTTTAACACTACATTTTAACACCTAGTCAGTTCACTACTTAAATTATAGCTGTATGAATTCCTTATCTTAACGCTTATCACACTGAAATTAATCCTGCAATTAACGAACGCACCATAATGAAAAACTTGGTTTAACTGAGTTATACATGCTAAAAGGAGGCTTCCTAAATAAATTACTGAAGACTCCTACCGACAAGTTCGTAATTTATTTTCAATTAGAGTTTTCGCTAGACCATTATGATCACTAAAAAGCTTTTTGTGCTAATTCATAACGATTTAACGTAAAAATTCTGACAGAAAATAAATTCTGACCGTCACTTTATACTTTACTCAAGCGATAAACAAACGCAAGCAATAAACACATTATGATTGAGTCTTCTGTCGAATACACAGTTTCATCTAAAAACAAGCCAATTCTTATAGCGTCCGGCCACGAACTTTTTTTCAGGCGAAAAACTAAGTTTACCGAAAGCTGGATTTGCTCAAAAAATCAAACACATAAATACCGAGCAGCTGTCATTACAGAAAAAAAAACGAATTACTCGAGACGCGTGGAGAGCATAACCATGACATTTCAGCGGGAAATTCGGAGGACCGAAGTGTCATAAAGCATTTAAAAGATCTCAGCGAGAGATTTACCCCAACTGTCGCAGTTGCCAGTGAGGTTTTGCCAGTTACAAACGATTTGGCCACTCAGTTTGCCTCCCAAGTAAAGACAAACTGATCCAACCGGCTGCGCGCACTCGTAAGCAGCTAGATGTAAATATGCCGCCTATCCCCGTTGCACAAAAATTTGAGATCCCTGAAATTTTTGAAAACTTTATATGGTATGACAGTGGATCAAATGATCACGAGCGAATCATTTTGAGGGGAGACCCCAAAAAGCTGAGAGTTCTGGAAAAGTCACCTTCCTGGTTAGCCGATGGAACTTTTCAAATTACTCCAAAAATGTTCTATCAGCTACATTCAATTCATGTAAGTGTATCTGGCATTGCGCCAGCTTGCATTTACGCTTTCCTTCGATTGCTCAAACAACAGTACGAGTGGGATTGCTCGAACAACAAATGCAGTCGAGGGATGGCATTTCAGGATTCAATCTTATTTCAGCGGAGGCATTCCAAACATGTGAAAAGAGATGCTTCTGTACAAAAACTCAATTTTTTGATGCATCGAGTGGCCATAAATTCACAAAAAAGAGAAATAGAAATTTTGAGTACTAAATGAAAGAGTACAAAACATAATGTCCGTTTACGAAGATTTTGAACAAGCTACTCTTTAGTACTTCCAAAAATCATTCCCCGAAGCACATTTGGACTCTGTTTATATAAAAAGCTTGGTGCCAAACCGTGAAGTTTCATTCCCACTCTCCATTTGGTACCAGCGAGATGCGGCCGTGAGTAGGATTGCTCAGACAACAAATACTGTCGAGGGATGGCATTTCGGGATTCAATCATATTTCAGTGGAGCCCACCCAAATATGTGGAAAGTAGTGGGCAGCCTGCAAAAAGACACTTCCGTACAAAAACTCAATTTTTTGATGCATCTAGTGGCCATAAGTTCGCAAAAAAAGAAAAAGTATTGAGTATTAAATGAAAGAGTACAAAAGATATGTCAATATAACGAAGACAAAACTGATCTGTACTTTTTCAGAGCGTTGTCTAGTTTGTGTTAAACCTTCGTAAATTTTGTCTCGTTTTTGTTTATTCTTTCGTTTTATTAAATTTCAAATTTTAATCTTACTTAAACTTTTTTCAGTTTTTTTTTCAAAAGGCGTTTCCTTGCAGACTCTCCGAAACGTAACTAAACGCAAGAACTTGACTCGTGCCTTAGCATGTAATCCCAGGACAATCGCCCTTTTTTCAGGAAGCTAGGTTAGGACTACGGGCTGGCAAACCCTTTAGCTTTGCGTTTATGTGCCAACAGTTCAAAAAAACTGACAAAGCGATCAGGTTATACGTTTAAGTTCGAGAATGATTCTACAAAGTACTGATTCTTAGGCTTTTGGCATTGTTTAAACCTTTTTAAAATTTCTATAGCGGCTAAAAATGTCTAGAAACTTAAATCATATTAGTCAAAGGACGTCTAATTATTTGCGGGCTTTTGAAGTTCATTGAAATACTGCTTGTTTTTGGTTCAATTTGGAATGATTCATTAAAAATACTGGCAAGGCCATTTCATTTTGGTTTGAAACGGTTCATTGAAATTATTTGCAAGGTCATTTCTGTTCAAAACTTAAGCGAGTTATGTAGCGCAAAATTGTCTGGCTTTAAATTGCAAAGGTCTCTCGTTTAACTCTTTGATGTTTACCGAAATCCCCTCTGAAGCCATTTTTCTTTTCATATTGGGACAAAACGGTGTTAAGTCATAGAAATTGTTTTAAAATGTAGCGACGTTAAATTGCTAAGGCAACAAAAAGTAGGGAGTAAAATTGTATGGTGTTAAATTGTTTAGAGTTAAAAAGGGGGTAACCCTTTATTTCAATCTGCGCTAGAATTGTGGGTGAATTGAACCAATGGTTTTTGACAGATTTCTTTTCAACGGATAGTTTTTCAGAAATAGTTTCGATGTTTTCCCTTTTTCAAATGCTGGACAGCCACCATCGGGTAAAATGCTATTTTCAAAGTTTCAACCATTGCATTAATTTTGACCAAGCTTATTTTTTTGTTGAGTCATGATCCTTATTTTCAATTAACGGCCTTCGCCCTTAGTTCGAATTAGCCTCAGCTTCGATTCGGTCTTTTTTCAAAGCTTCAAATTCAACCAATTTGCTGCTGTTTTTAAGCTGGTAACCAACCTTAATATAAAAAAATATTCATAAATATTTTAATGTTTTCATCTATCTTTATAAACTTTGCAGCTCCTAAAATCTAAAAAATAAAATTCATGGCTCGCCTAATGTAAAATTCGCCTAGTATAGCCACCCGCATCTACTAGAATCTGTTAGCTTGCTTAAGTTCTGTTGAGTTCTGGCTAATGATAACATTTGAGGTAAAAAATATATCAATTTTTCTCATTGTGGACTCGGATCATTTTCGTTTTAATTCAAAACAGTTAAATCTAATTAGAAGAAGAAAGCGCGAATAATTACTGAACAGACTTAGAAGACTCATTTTAGAAGTGTATAAATTATAAGCAGTTCCACAACGTAAAAATCAATCAAACTGAGCTTGAAACGAATTACAGTACAGACTTTTCTGGTAGTGCAAAAAAATGCGGCGAAACCGAAATTTTTTAACTGAAGGCTTTCATAAGCATTCATTCACGTGGTTCTAGAAAAACAAGAATTTTTTCTACCTAGATTGATATTGAAACTGTCCAGAGTCACATTATAGCTAAAATAATCGTTTCCAAAAATTTTTCGGCTACATTTGTGCATGAGGTTATTTCGAACAGCGCAAAACGAAAAACGGGCCTTTTCAGTGTTCGGAAAAAAGCACGGAAAATAAATTTGATTAAAACAAAAGCCTAACCAACTGACATTTGAAAACTGTCAATCAAATCGAAGAAATTGAAAAAAGTTTTGTGTGGCAAAGAAAACAATAATACATGGCTTTAAGGCTTTTCGAAAGTCAAGAACAGTTTATGACACACTTTTTTGATAAAACTAACCAAATAAGAGAACACTTGGTCAATAGTCAAACTTTTCAATTCCGCTAGGAAAAAATAAAACTCAGGGCTCTTTTCTTTTGAAGTGAGGGAGATGGGAGGAGAGCTAAATTCACTGATAAATCTAGAAATGGTTCATGCTTTTTTGCTCTATTTACAATTTTGTAATCGAAGAGCGTAATTTGTCTTGTTTTAGCAACTAGAAATGAACCGAATTTAAGAAGAAATCGAACAGCAAACAGCAAATAATCAAAATTGGTATGGATGAAATTTAAAATTTTTTGGTCAGAAAATTAATTAAACCTAGATGAGTCTCTACCCTGGGTTCATTGACACTTAAAACTATCACCAAAAAGTAAAAGACTGGGCCAAATTGCGTTTTTTGTGATTGTAAACTGATTCCGGAATAGGTCGAAAACAAATTTGTCGCGGAATCTGCGACTTTGTTAGTTTTCTTTGCTCTTCTTTGCAGTTTTAGATTCCACGAACAAATAGATAAAACACAAAAAAAAACAGCCAATTTTGTAAAATTAAAAAAATGCGGAATCTGGAACAATCTGTGGAATTCAAAAACATATAACATGTTGTGTTTGGTAAAATTACTGTCACAGAATCCGCAACTTTGTGTGGAATCCTCAAACTGAAGACGGAATCCTCAAACCAAAAAAAATCCGCATTTGTATAGGGTTTCCAGGGAAATATAGATACGTATATTCAATGTTCAGAAAAAGTACGGAAAATGAATTTGGTTTAAATAAAAGCCTAACCAATAGACACTTAAGTTTTGTCGTACGCAGATTCCGCAACCAGCTAATTTAGCTAGTTGCGGAATCTGCGTGCGACAAAACTTAAGTGCCGATAAAGTTTCCGTTGCACGTATTTCTGCGGGTAATCCACGGAAGTTTTGAAACCTGATTGAAGTCTTGTCTCTGGATTTCAGTGACCTACAGAGACCAAATTGTGCACCTATCTAGTGCAAAGTTTAGCTTCGTTATGTACGCCAGATCCACCACTTCTAATCACATTAAATTTTAGGCAATCTGAACAGTTTAATTCGTTGGAAACTTATGCCAATTAAGTTGTCATAAAAACAAACTCTTTAACTGACCTGTCTTGACCTGTGATGCAGACTGCACATGTTCCAGTTGGGCGATTGTCCACTTGGTAGAATTGCACATTCACTCCGTCATTCACACACAGATCCTTCAGAGTGGAGGCATACGCATCTGTTCCCACACAACCAACAAAAGTACAGGCTTCAGGGTAGTTCTCACCTGAAATGATTTATTCACACGGAGTTAAAAAACCAATCCACAAAACAAATATAAACAACAAAATTAATATGGACTGCTAGGTTTAATGAACTGTATTTACCCAAAGAGATGGCATTAGGATTAGATTTACAGGTATAGCAAGGCTACAAAAAAGAAGACACAATATTTCCAATCAATAGCATTCCAAGTTTAGACTTTCCCTCATCTCAATTCTGGTCGCCAAATTTCTCCAAAATGCCCTTTTTGGATTTATTTTATGACGGTTATTTTTGGCTGATTACAACCGTTAAGTTTATTATCCCTTATACAGGGGCTGATTTAGGGTTTTCTCGAGGGGGAGGAGTAGGTTTTCAAAAAAAATTTGAAATTTTATCGACCTTTTTGTAGGTCGACTAAATTAGTTTTCCGAGCTCTCACAAAACAAATCAAAAAAGACGTTCTTAGGCCAATTTTGGAAAAACTTTGGCGTTTTTTTGGCGCGCGCTTTTTCGTTTTTTTTTCTCGTTTTTTCGGCGCGCGCTTCATCCTCAAATTGAGTATATATTGGCGCCAAAATTGGCGCCAAAATTTGCGTTTTTTCGGCGCGCGCTTCATCCTCAAATTGAGTATATATTGGCGCCAAAATTGAATGTATATCGGCAGGGGCTCAAATCCCTGAAAGGGGGAAAGGCGCCCGCCACCCCCTCTAAATCCGCTCGCGCCCTTTTATATACTAATTCTGAGGATGGAAGGTCTATAATTGGGCCATTATCTCAAAAAGTACAACCCTTTTGAAATCCAGTGATGTAGTAGCAAAAATTAATTAGCCACTAGAATGACGTAGAAAACAAGTGTGAGCTAACCTATGAGCCACTGGCAGTATCTGATTGTGTTCAGTGTGGCGCCACCGGGGGTGAAGATGGGTTGAAACTTGTCCACCATCTCTTGGTACATGGGCCGCTGCTCATGCACCGCCAGAATCGCACTGTTCCGCTTCAGTCCATACTTCTCCAGAAACACTGGCGTCACCTCGGCCGTAATATCCAGAAGGGGGTTGCCAAGTGCGAAAATACACCCTTTGCTTAAAACAGACATCACGATATTTTAAAGAACACGACTACTGCCACGTATTCATGAATCGAAACTACAAATGGGAACTTTAGAGTGACACAACGATTTGGCAATTTTGAGTGCGTAGTTATGAGACAAGGCTCGAAGTATTATGTAAATTTGAATTTGACTACACTTACTGCAATTAAACGTGGTTACAAGAGCAGTGAATTTTTGTTTAATTAAGAGAGAGTTGTTAATTAGTCACTTTTTGTCGAGTACTATACACTATAGTTTTGAGTTAATGCAATGATGAGTGTTTCCAGATTTTTGATAAGACTCGATAACACTCAAAACACTCAATAAGAATCGATATTGCTCATTGTTCCCGACTTTCGAAGAAAACGGAATATTTTTGCTTTATGTGCCTTTTTTATTCAGTCAATTTTCGGCGATCGAAAGATTATTGTTTAAGAAAAAAAAATTTATGCTCCATTGAAGATATCGACTCCTTGAAATCAAGTTTAAAACGATATTTTGCCTCCAATGATTTGTTGCAAAACTTTGAAAATTGCCAATATGGCCATGCTCTGGACTAATTCATGCGCGCTTTGTAGATTTTTTCCATAATCTTGCAAGTGCACCGTGATTGTTTTATGCGCGAATTATCCCGCACAACAAAACCGGCTTAAAATGAATTGAGGCTAGCTTATCCGTCGTATTAATTTCGTACGATTCAAGCTTTTACACTGTTGATCGTTGATATTGTCCAAAAATTACTGTTTTTCAAAATTTTCCCCCGAAACCTATTCGATATGGATTAAGAGGCAGTCAGAACTTTCATGGCTGTGTCTTGATATACGAGCAGTCTTGTTTAACTAAAAATTACTATCCACCAGGTTTAAAATTTCCTTGCAATTCAGAAAAGAATGATTTGTTTTTCAATTTTGGCATCGATTATGATTCTATATTGCAATGCTACTTGAACTATGTTTAACCGCACTGACAAATTTGAAGCTAAAATTGATCTAAATCAATGTTTCTACAAATAGTAATGTATGAAAATCAATTTACGGTGGCCCATTAGGTTAAATAAATTGATTTAGAATGAACAAATTGGATTCTTAAGGTAAAAAAACGATTTGTTTGCCTTAAAAATAGATTTAAATAGTCTCAAAACTTTTTTGCAAGGCAGTGAAAACCAACAATTCTCAGCAAAATTATTTTTAATTTTGCTGTTTTTTGGTTTCAAAGTTGAACAAAATTTACTGCTCAAGAAAAAATGTTATCAAAGCTACAGAGAGCTACTCAAGGAGAGTTCTTACCACAATCTATTGAGATGCGGGGAATCCTTTTGAGTTTTGCAAAACTAAGTGCTCCCGCAGTATGAAAGGTAAATTTATAAAAAGTTTCTCCATATGCAACGTTCTAGGCGCAATTATGTTACGCAAAGGACATACAGATTAAAAATTTGACTTAGAAGAATGCATTTTTGGTGCAGAAAGAAGTTAAATTTATTATAGTCAGAATTTTTCTTTCATTTTTTTGTTTCATAGTCGAAAAAAATCTGAATATTATCTGTATAAAATAATGAGCATACAAAAAGCGGACATATATCAATTTGAAATGATTTATATTGATTTGAATTGACTCCATTCTTACTCAAAATCTTTATGAATATAAAACCAGAAAACGCCAAAAATTGATTCAGATTGATTTAGAATTGATTGAAATTGATTTTTTCAGTTAAATTTTGGTCGGAGATTTTCATTGAGTATCAATCAATTCAAGATGGTTGTTTACCATAAATCATAAGTTTCAGGGAATTCTTTCTAAAGTTTCACATCTCAGCGCTGAAGCGTTATGACTGAAATTAATAACCAAAGAGTAACCTTAGGAATATTAAAATACATACATAATATAAGGTTAAAAGTTTTGGATCAAGTTTCAAGGAACAATTCTACGCAAACTTGGTGTTCTCACCATCGCAAATACGTTTCGTCGTCCATAATTACAACATAACCAATCAATGTAAACTGACTGATATATCCCTTATATGATTTAAAACACTGCAGCAAAAATGCTGCCTTTTCCTACTTTCAATGCAATTTCAACACCAGCAAGGTGCAGTTTTTGGGCACGGCTGCAAGCAAACGTTCTAATGAATTTGCTTACAGACAAAACCGAGTTTTTGAATACGCGATAAAAAATTAAATTCCAGAGTTCTGGAATTTTCTAGTTTTCAAAAATCTCATATTTTCTTTTTTTTAGGCTAGAACAGTCCATTCTCTAGCATGTTTTTTTAAGTTTGAAACCATGCAAAAAATCAATTGTGCGAAAGAATAAAATTAGGTTTTTGTTTAAGTTTTTTTATCCGTATTATCAACTTATTAATTTGCGATACTTTACACCAATGCAAATCGGAGCTTCACACCACTCGCGATGCTGAACAAGGATAATTTGGCAAAATTAGCCGAGAGAAAGTGACCCACAATCCGCTAGGAAGAAAAAGTTCTGAAAAATTAAATCAACCAAGGTTTTAATAATGTATCCCAATTGTTTTTTGCCAAGAAAAAATTGATTATTAAATCTGAAGCAACTTATATAGCAGCAACAAAGTCAACAGTTATTCAGCAGACAAAGTTGGAGTCGGAAAAATTTGTCCCCCTCAATGGACACACGCATTGCTATTTTTTTGGCTCATCAAGCGATGCAATTTGAGGACCGATTACTTAAGAAAAAATCTGAAACTATACCAATTTACATTGGTAAACTTAAAACCATCATGAAAAACAATTTAAAATGCAGACATGAGCTAAAACTGACACTTGAATGAGTAAACCGACAAAAATAAAAATTAAGTTTTTAATTAGAATTATGCGAGATGAAACAATGCAAGCATTCAGAAAAAAAAAACTGAAAAAAAAAAACGCGGTGAAACTGTCCCGGAATTTTATTAGTTCAAATTGAGCACTTGCAATAAAACCTATCTCAGAAACCACACCGACTAAAATCGAGACGCTGAGAACAAATTCGGGAAAATTTTTAGTAAATTTTTTAAAATCCATTTGAATTTAACTTATGTAAGACTATCTACCGCTGTAACACACGTCTAAATACTTGTGACTACGATGAATACAATCGGCATGAATCGTTAGAACAAATATTAAAAAAAAGTTGTAAACATTATTCTTTTGTGTTTAAAGAATTTTGCAAAAACATGAAACTGAATATCCTACAACTTAAAGAGCATTTTAAATTGGCGAAAATAACTGAATTAGGAAAAAACTTGTGCTGGGGAAACTAAGCCTGCAAAATTAAGCAGATGTAATAGTAGTCATATTCGAATTTCATATATTGGATTTTTTTCGCAATTAAGTGTACGTCACGCCCGGGAAAAAACCGTTTGCAGTACCCCTGCTAACCGCAAAGTTAAATAGTTGCCCAAGTCAGTAAAAAATCCACGCTGCAGCAACAACGTAAAAAGCCAAAACCTAAGAAAACAGCGATAGTCCGACAATGATTTTTTCAGGCAGAAGTTTTGGACTAGCAAAAAATAAAGTTCTTTGAACGTTTTTTTTTGCAATTCGAAGGTTGTCGATTACCACGCCAATTGTTTATGAACATACGTTAAATTAATTTGCTGTAAGCTTGAAATGAAGTTATCGGAGGATTCAATGATTTTGCACGAAAAGAAATTATGTTCCGGTTTGATAAAGCTTGTTAATCGCAAAGCAAGACAAAAAACAACTGAAACTGGATAGCTTTCAAAAAATAGCTATGTGATGTTATATGATCGAAAAAAGTTACGGAGCCTCCATTCGTCTGTTTTAGTCATTCGCCATTCTTTTCATTGAATTTAAAATTATTGATTGCTTCCCTTATAGCACATCGTAAAAAAATTCTAGCCCTATAGTGGTTAGCTCAACCCAAAAATTGTTGGTGCCGTTTTTTTATCCCAAAAAATTTTGCTTAAAGAACTATAGTCTAAACTTAAATTTTCTAGGATCGTCCAGTTTGCTTGTCGTCCAATTGTCTAGGCCCCGTATGTTTACTGGAAAAACAAAGTTAATGAAGCCGTTTTTCTCGAGACCGAGAACAGGATTCGGCCTTAATCAAACAGATGTGAAGCTGCACTTCGCAAACAGAAGCATCAAAAGGCAGAGATTCATTTGCCTTAAAAATACTAATAGTTGCTTGGATAGAACTACTTGGAATATTGTAACTATTCTGATGTTACCAAAATTGCACAATTTTAGAGCAAAACCCAGATTGAACCTTAATCTAAATTTGTTTTTTGAAAAATTTCCCATTTTGCATAGGGGAGGAGGATTAGTCAGAAAAAATAGAAAGTGGCTATTCAACAATTTCCACATACTCACGTTACCAAAAAAGTACCAACAAGATTACCAGTTTAAACCACAAGGCAAAATGATGGGTTGACCACTATCTTTACCCGCCTAAAAATTCTTTTTAATTATTCATATCCTTACTTACCAATGATAAAATGACCATAAAATGCAAATAATTTGATTTGATTACTAAACAAAAAAATTTGAAACAAAAAATTCTTCGGTTAAATTTGCAAAAAAAAAACAATCAACGAATCAAATAAAAAGGAATTTTTCCGAAGTCCGTCTCAGCTAAAGAGATAACGCAGGGAAAATCTAAGCACCATGATAGTTTTAATGAAATATCATCCTCAGAATCAGCAGGTTAGATTCTGAAAAAAAAAAGATAACTTTCCAAAAAACGAGCAAAATAACAAATACAGGACTTTATCTTGGGCCACATTTTTTGTTTCAAAGCACAGGACATAGCATAACTGATTTTATTTATTTCGGTTAACCCTTAATCTCCGATTTGACACGGTAGTTTTTGAGCGCAGTTTTAAAATGAACCAAAATGTGTGGGCTTGTTTGAGAGGCCTTAACTTTTTTCTACCGAATTTAGGAAATCGCCGTTTGACAAGGGAGATCCCAATAACTTGCTCTATGTCTGAAACCTTCATCGCAGATTTGGGCATTTAATAATTGAGAAAATGAACAACTAATCAAAACAAATATGCCAAAAATCCCCCAACTGAAACTTTCGAAGGCAGGAGAAGGGAAGGTTAAAATGTAAAGAGACTAGCAAAATATTCATGCACATAAAAAGCAGCCCATTTTTCCTTTGTTTTTTTTTGAAAATCGGCTCAGCAAAAAGTGCAAACATTTCCCGAAGGGTGGCACAAAAAAAAAACAAAAAACATTAAATCCCATACATTTTCATAAAACATAATGCTTTGAAATTATATCAACCTCTTTTTAGTCTAAGGCAAATGAAACTTTTTGAGTTATTTTGAATAGCATGGACCAAATCGATGAAAACTTAGATTTCCATTCGAACTAGTCAAGTGATACAAAATTTTTAATTCATAGAAATTACTTTTGAAAGCCATCGAAAAATTTTTTTTCTTACCTTCGTTATACAAACCTTGACAGAACTTGAAAACCTGAATAAGACATCCAAAAAAGAATTTCAACGTCTTGAGCAAAGCAAGTTCTAATTGATTCGTAACACATGCTAAAACTGCCATCTTTTCATTGATGAAGCTCTGAATCCAGTTAGGTTTATTAATTTGTTTGATCAACAACTGAGCTTGTTTGATTACCGTAGTTTGATCAACAAATAATCTTACTGCGAGTTTTCAGCCCGTGGAGCTTTCGCAAGCAGCCTTGCTCTCCAAATTACCGTTCTGAAAGCTCTTCAATGATTACTTTCATCCAACATTCATCCAAGTTGAACACCTTAGTTAAATTTGGGTTACTTGAAGTATTAAGAATTCTCGATTTAAAAAAGAAACATCTAAATACTTAAATTAACTGCATTCTAGATTTTACAGCGAACTAACAAAACAGCCAACAGGCAGTTGGAAAAGTGTCAATAAAATTAAGGAGACTTGGAAATTTTGAAAAAAAAAATCCTTTTTTTGAAGAAATGAGAGTCATTCATGCCGTTTTGCGTCATTTGCTTTTGTACTTCGAGAGCGCAACTTATCTTCCTATTAGCAAATGAATTTCGAATTGAACTTTTAAACTAAATCAAACATGAAGTCGTGAGTGTGATAAACATTTAAAACTTTTTCCCCAAATAAAAAATGAAAAAAAAAAACACTACGTTCATTGACACTGGCATTTAATTATAAGCTTGATTTCATAAATTAGCTTTACATTTTCTGTGAAAAAGAAATTCATAATTCGTTTGATACTTCACACGATAGGAATGATAGTTTTTATATGATACCAAAAGAGTTTGCTTTCGATCAAATAACCAGTGCCTTAATTACAATTGTATGCTACCCAATTCAAAACAGCTATTGATGCCTTAACTAATCAATTTTTGAAAATGCGATGTCCTTTATGCAAGAACTAATGAGGGTTTATATTCCCTGCAATTCCGTGGATCGCATAACAGAGGAGCATTTCTGTTGTTAAGGAAAAGATAATGGAAAAAAAAAACAAATCAAGTCACTTTGCCCAATTTAGAAATTCAATTACTTGAAAAAAGATCAATCTCTTGTCTACAGAAACAATCCAAGGCCGCCACTTTTCGATTCTTTTTTGATTTCCAATCACTCAACTATGGTTCTTCTTCGTCTGAAGTTTAAGTCAGTTTTCTAGATTGTGCTCTTTCTGGTGTTGTTAGTTTTGATTGTTATTTCTGTTCTTGTTGTCTCTTCTCTCTTCCTCCTTTCAGAACTCCCTGTCTGAGAGAACGATGGGTGCGAATAGTACCCAGATGTATGTGGCAAAACAGACCCATGAGCTGCTGATTTTGACCCATTTCGACACAGAGGAGTCCGCAAAGTCCGAGTCCGTCATGGAGTTGTCAACCTTCATAGGGCTGAAACATTTTTACATTCATCTTCACTTTTATCACAATTTGTCATCAGTGATGATTTCACGGAAACTTATTGAGTTGCATATCAATTTCATGAAATTTAAAAGCTTCATGTGAAGTGTCTAACACTCTTGCTACTCGTTGAAAAGGTCGTTAGTTTGAGCCCCACCACGACCTATACTCGATGCTTGAATGAAAAGCGATTATTGCATACGAACAAAACTGAAAAAATGCACGCAATAAAATCAAGAACGTCCAGTTACTCAATTCGCATTTTTTAATTGATTTTCTAGGCATGGAAGAATTGCTTAGCCATCAAGTTTCGTGTAAACATCGCTCAAGCTGTCAACTTTTTGACTGAAAGACAGGCGTTTTATCCACTTAACAAATTGCCTCAAATCGCGCGCGTATAAAAAAAACAGAAAGGCCTCATGAGTGGTAAGTCGTCTCACCTGAACCAGTATGTGAGTGTCATCATGATGTAGAGACAAGCGGCAGCCATTGCTAGATGGAAGAGAGAGTGACTGTAACTCACTTCATCTTCCTCGTCGTCCACTACTGCCTGTCCACCCCGCTCGTCATCATCGCCTCCTATAACAGAAGCTGGGCATCACGCATGCCTTTTCGAGCTCTTAAAATAAAAGACTCTTACCCAGAAAAATTAAAGCAAGTAATAGACCCTGAGAAGCACAATGAAAAGGTCAAATTAACCAACTGACAGCTGATGTGAAGCAATGCGACTGAACAAGGATAGCAGAGATAACTGTTACTTTATGCAAGGAGAAAATATATTTTCGGATTGACTAAAAACATCAGATAAGACCTTTAAATTCAATAAGTTTTATACTGCCTATCGTATTTCTTTTCGGAAAAAGCTGTAATATGACAATTCAATTAGATTCGTATGATGTTTATCTGACGTGACCAAAAAGCTCAGGTGACCAAAATAATTCCCCACGTTCAGTGTTCGAAACAAAAAGCACGAATAAACAATAGTTTATATTCTTTTTTTTATTGTCTTTTTAAGCTTTTTCTCGCAAAACTGCATACCTTTTTTCAAAAAACAAACTTTCAAAAGTATAACAGAATAAAACAATGTTTTTTTTTAACTTCAAACTAGGGTTACACAAATTTTGTTTTAATAACTGAGAAAACATTTTCAACAGTTCAAACAACCCAGCAACCAGGTCATTATAGACATTATAGACAATAACGTCGGAACTCTCGAAGATTGTAATTGTTCCGACCACCATTTCTGCAAATTTTGACTACCCTGAGGGAATCTCGTGAGATGTCAAGTGAGGAATCATATAAGAGCCAAATTGGTCGTGATTGGGGTTCTGAACAAATTTTAAAATTGTCCCACAGCCCAGCAAAACTTGAAATTTTTCGATTCCCAGACTAAATTTGACAAGAGTTAGAAGCTGATTCCAAATTTAATTCTACTAGATCTTTAATACATTAATCAGTAAGTCTAGCATTCTTTTGCCTATTTCAATAGCCTTTTCTGGGTACAAAATAACATTTTTGACTTTTTTCAATTTTTGAAAATATTTTCATATTTGATTTTTCTTCACTCAGGTCGGAACATTCTTCACTACTTGCAACGCATCCGCCTACCCTTGTTTTTCGCTTAACTTTCCATTTTAATCGAAACTATCAGTTTTGAGAGATGAAACTATGCAAACAAGTATGTATATCAAGCCGATGAAAATTAACTTAGAGTATCTCACACAACTTGTTTTTTACAGAAGATTAAAAGAAACTTTTATTAACTAGGCACCAAATTCTTCAATTTGCAAGTTTGTGCCGTATAGGAGCTTTGCCTGTGTAAACAAAGTTTTTCCCTAGGTTTTTACGAAACTATCGTCAAACTAAACAGCCTTTTCAATAAGGTTAGCTTACCGTTACCACTAAGAGTTCCGTAGCTCTGATTACCTGTAGAACATAGACGCATATAATCAAGAGACAAGAGACGGTTGGAAGGATATCGATACTTAATAAATCAGTTTATATTTAGAAAAATTTATTTACTTTTGATGTTCTTCTTGAAAAAAGTTTTTGTTTTAAGCATTGCATTTTTATTTCCTCTTTTTTTTGGGTTCTTTATTATGATCAGATATTCTTTTAATTCAAAATATCAGAAAAATTTATTTTCACATTTCAAATAAAAATTGACAAAAATATGCTTCTCATTCGTTCGCGGCACTTTAGACAGGATGAATAGCCTTCAGTATCCGCTCAAGCTGGTGCTCTTTAAATGTTAAACTATAATTACTTTTACAGTTTTGTAGCGTGCATAGCCTGAAAACAACTTTAGTTTTATATATCATAATATATATATGTTCAAATTTTCATCTTTGACTTCTTTCGAGACAGTCAACCCTAGTTCCAGAAAACTAGACCCAAAAAGTATTTTTCACTTAGTCGTGGAATTTATTCAATTTATTTGCAATTTTACATTTTCGAGATGTAAATGAGTGTTCGGGGTCCGGCCTATTAGGATGTGTGTCTAGAAGGTCCTAGTTGACAATGTTGTTGCTTTTTGGCATTTTTTTTTAGAAAAGTTTACATAAAGTGCAATTTTACATTTTCGAGATGTAAATGAGTGTTCGGGGTCCGGCCTATTAGGATGTGTGTCTAGAAGGTCCTAGTTGACAACGTTGTTGCTTTTTGGCATTTTTAGAAAAGTTTACATAAAGTGCAATTTTACATTTTCGAGATGTAAATGAGTGTTCGGGGTCCGGCCTATTAGGATGTGTGTCTAGAAGGTCCTAGTTGACAACGTTGTTGCTTTTTGGCATTTTTTAGAAAAGTTTACATAAAGTGCAACTTTACATTTTCGAGATGTAAATGAGTGTTCGGGGTCCGGCCTATTAGGATGTGTGTCTAGAAGGTCCTAGTTGACAACGTTGTTGCTTTTTGGCATTTTTAAGAAAAGTTTACATAAAGTGCAATTTTACATTTTCGAGATGTAAATGAGTGTTCGGGGTCCGGCCTATTAGGATGTGTGTCTAGAAGGTCCTAGTTGACAACGTTGTTGCTTTTTGGCATTTTTTAGAAAAGTTTACATAAAGTGCAATTTTACGTTTTCGAGATGTAAATGAGTGTTCGGGGTCCGGCCTATTAGGATGTGTGTCTAGGAGGTCCTAGTTGACAACGTTGTTGCTTTTTGGCCTTTTTTAGAAAAGTTTCTTTTGACAAAGAAGCGCTATGTAAATCTTTAAAAACTTGTTTTACAGGATTCAAACTAAAGTTTTCCGGTTAAAATTACCAATTTTGATCTAAATCGTTTAGCTTTACTTGTTCGAAATTAGACTGCAAAGCAAAAATTATTTTTCTCAACTTTGACCGCAATTTTTGAATTTTTTCATTATCGATCGATTGAAAATGCTATAATATGATATATCACTCGACCCATTCTGTTGTACCTGAAATTTTCGACCACATTTATTTTTGCAAAAAAAAACAATGAATAATAGTCAAAGAATTTCACTTATTGATTTTTTTGTTTCACTTTTTTTTCTGAAAGAAGAAAAGAGGCGCTATTAAGTTGACTAATGTTGCTCGACACTGAGGCAAAAAATTTTCGACACTGAGGCAATTGCTTTGATTTTTTGGCATCGCCACCAATGGGGCTTTAACATGATAACACACTTACGAGCTTTTGTTGGGCAGTCAAACTCAGTCAGAAAAAGACACCCTACGTCATGGTTTTTTACCCTTCGCGAAGTGGTCGGAATAAATTGTGATCTTAAAAACTGTTTGTAAATTAGTGGCAAAATGTTCTTCAAATGAATAAACAACGAAATGAATAATTTTGCACAAGCTAATAACAGGCACACAAGGGTTACGTAGCAGTGTTTAGACAACCGCGTATTCAGACACGTTAGTATTTAGACAATTACTGTATTAACCAATCAGAATCGAGACAAGGAAGAAATTAATAAATAATTATTATTTATTTTGGATTATTTATGTCTTATCTCGATTCTGATTGGTTCATACAGTATTTGTCTAAATACTGACGAGTATGAATACGAGGTTGTCTAAATACAGACCGCACTCCGCACACATGATTATCGTTACGACCTTAACTATTAGAGTAATTACAAACCAAAAACCGAACAAAAGTTGAACACTTCGATCGGAATTCGAATCTCATTTGGTATATTAAAGCTTAGTTTTGACCAGTTTAAATGAAAAAAGCATGAACTTTAATTTATTTATCGAAAGTCTTCAAAAAGGCATCAATTTCTTCAGTGGCGCTTCCAAAAAAGCTTAGGATCAATTTCTTTCAAAAGAAAAAAGGCATCAATCTCTTCAATGGCGCTCTTCAAAAGAAATTTTTATCTAACCTGCAGCGTAGTTGGATGAGCTGTCTTCGTCTTTGTTTGAAGTACGACTGAAAAACAAGGCTCAGATTCCACAAAGATAAACTATTTTTTCAGCAAACTTTGATTTCTTTTGATTGGAGCCGTAGCTTAAAATAAATAGGTAAAAAACGCCCATGTTTTTGCATAACAAACGTCTAAGTACGAAATCGTTCCACTGTTCAATTGATCCGTTCAGTTTCAATTAAAGTTTAACTTCACTTCTATCCTTGTTCAAACTGAATCTCTGACTTCTCGTAAATTTACAATGAAACCTTCAATGTTTTTTTACAATGAACATTTGTTTTATATGTATCAATTCTTAATCATGTTTGATCATAACTTTGTTGCAAATACTGATGATTCTCACGTGGCGATGAGTACAGTGAAGTTAGCGACGAAGAGAGCGACTACAATGCTGACCCACTGAGCCCCCTCCCCCGTGGGGTTGCACTGGTCTCTGGGGTCTGAGGAGAGGGCCATCCAGGTGAGACCCACTGCGAACAGACTAGTCACAGACGCCTGCAACAGACCACTCCGCGGATTCTCTAAAACACCATCAGAATACAAAAAAATTCATACATTTTGTAATGGCGCCTTATCAAAAAATGAGCCACAAGGGCTAAGCTCCGCTTAAATTTAGATGCCTTTCATAGAGAAAAAAGGTAGCAAAATCATTGCTTATTCAAATAAGACTTAGTTAACAGAGTTAATTTTCAGATCTTCTGGCAAACATTATTTTTCTTTATTAGCCATCTCTCCAGCTGAGATAGCGCTTTTTTATCGAAATAGTTTAATCGTTAATTTTGACTAGTTTAGTCAATTGCCAGTTTCTGTTGCTTATTCTATCGTAAATGGCTTGAGATATCATAATCAAAAAGAATTGCATATGTAAAACTTAAGTAGATCCTGACCTTCTTGTACTTTGGGGATTATTGACAGGACTGAGATGATGACACAGAGCAGCACCAGAAGCACAATGAGCACTATATTATCCAAGCAGTCTGAGTTAGTGTAGTAGATGAAGAGGAGCACGACCCCTAGGAGGGAGGAGGTGAACATGAACAACATGGATGTGATGAGCATCACTAGCCAGCACTTGTTGTCACTGTCTTCCATATTGCCCACCCTGAAAGTGAACAAAAGCATAAAACCCATCGTTTACTGTAAGAGGGATTTTATATTGCACTCTGTTCTGCAATTGCTAGTCGCTCTTTTAGGTCATAGAGGTACTCCACAAGCCACTAACTGTGAATCAATAATGAAACTGGAGATCATAAAAGAGCCCATAGGTGTTCATATTCAGAAAAATAGGCATCAACAATTTCGCATAAAGTGTAAAACTAAAGAAAGAAAGAAAGAACGAAAGAAAGGACGAAAGACAGAAAGAAAAACAGAAAGAAAGAAAGAAAGAAAGAAAAAGAAAGATGTTATTCCACGACTATAAAAGTAAAGTAAATTCTAACACAGAAGCACCTGCAATACAAAACCAGAAAGCCCCTAATTCGGAAAAAAATGTACAAAAAAATCGAAAAAGTCAGAAAAGCTAAACGAATTAGGCTAATTTTGAAACAAAAACGTGCCAGGACAATAGAGTGTGAAATTCAAATCGGAAGAAAATTTACCAGGTGTTAACAAGGTCACAAAGACACACACGAACATACAATTTTTTTTTGCTCGTCAAAAAACGCCACATGATGCCATTAAACCGATATAATTTGAGCCCAAAACCTATCATCCAGTGAAAAAAAAGCCAAAAAAATATTGCAATGAAAAACTTAAGCTATTATTTCTATAAAATTTTTCCAGTTTGTGCCATACAAAGCATAAAAAATTTGTTTACCTTAAAACGACTCATAAATAGTTCACTTAGCCGATAAAATATAAACCAAAATCATTTGGGCAGAATGAAGTTTTTAGCTAAAGAAAAACAAAAAGAAAAATATACGAAGTCAAGAAATTACAAATAGCTGAAGTAAATCAAAACATAAGGTATTTAACAAAATCCAACAATTTTTTTTCTAAACGGAATATTTCCCGTTTGAAAAAAATAGGTCCTGTCAATTTCGACTCATTCCAGGCGTATTCGCTGCCCACAGGCTAAGTGTTCCGGAAACGCAAAGAAATTTGAAATCAATTTGCACTAGCGCGCAACGCACCTCAGGTGCTTCGAATTTCTAACAATAAAAAAAACCGCATATATTGGAAACAAGATCTGCATCCTTTGAGTGTACTCTGACAGCACCCAATTACAGGGTTCGTATTTACAAAATTTGCAAAGTTTTTATCAAGTTATGTGAAATTATACTTAAGTTCTTTGAAAAAAAAAACTAAAATGAACTAAGAAACGTCAAATCTCGGAAATTAAAAGCAATTGAGCAGTCGCATTTGCAAATCCTCAGAGTACTCTTGCAGTACCCAACTACAGTGTTGGGAAATTCGAATTTTGGTTTGATTTCGATATGATTGGTTCGATATTTGATGTTCACCTAAAAAGTCGAAAATACACAACAGACAGTTCGAAAAGTCAATGAAAATTAAGGAAATCAATAAAAAATGATTCAATTATTTTCGAACTTTTTTTCAATTTGAAATTTCAGAGAAAAAACTATATAAAGTTAAAGCTCTGAGTTTCAGGGATATTTTATGGTTGACGTTTTTTTTTAAAATAACGTTAGGCCAATTACAGAAAATTTATGATAGTTTTTTATTCCGCTGGAAATTCTGAAAACAAAAATCCATTTTCGAAACTCAGAGCGGATCATGTCTTTTTTTGCGCTTTTTACCATTTTGTTTAAGCAGAGTGTAGTTTGCCTTCCAGTTCGCAAATGAAATCTAATTGAAGTCAGACATTGCATATATACATGAATGCATTAGGAAGTATGAACACACTTCTGCACCTAGTATTTTTTAAACATTTTTCCCGTAAGAATACAGAAAAAAACATCATGATCTAAGAAAAGGTTTTCACTTTATTCATTGGCACTTAGCAAGTCAGCTCTGGAGTTAAGACTACTGTGAAACCCGCTGTTGCTAAACAAGCATTAAAAACAAAAAGAAGCTGACTCTTTTTGACCACACTTTTTAGGAGTTGTTATACAGAAAATAATCACGCATACCATGATTCGTTCCATGAGTGGGCGAAGTCGATGAGCATGATTATCTGGACGAGGATGAACAAGAAGCCCCCGATCAGACCCCCAACGTACATAGCTGAAAAGATACATTTCTCGCTCAACCATCGAATCTGATCTTCATATACGTTTTTTTCCAAACGAATACAACTTATTTAGCTGAATTTATCACTGGTAATATTATTAGCCGAGCTAAGTTCCATTTACCTTATATAGTGTTCCTAGTATGACAAACCAAAAAACTTGATTTGGTGTTCGGATTGACTTTTCGAGATTATTCGCAATGTCTCTTACATGTTTTTTGCTATCACAGAAGCAGCACATCGTTTATCTTTTGACCTAATAGTGTTTTAGTATTGAGGTTATGGGACCTTACTAGTGTAGAATGCTTTTGTGGTGGGGATGAAAAACACGCCCACAATCAGCAGAATGAGCAAGAGGAACTTCCACAGCCAGAAGCTGAAACAAAGCAGCACAGTGAAATAGGAAACAATAAGTTGACAATATTGCTAGTTCTTTTTTGATTGAATATGACTTCTTTCTCTGTAACATCTTCTCAGCAATTTAAATGTTGAGATAACATAGGTCGTATTCTCAGTCTTTAATTTTATAACAACCAGGTTTAACTTTTCAAGCCGTTGAATATGTAGATTTCATGTTAAAACTTTTATACTACAGTTACTAACCCGGGTTTTCAGTTACTATCAGTTACCATACCGGGCAAATTGTCCATTTTCATGTAGTTAGCCTGCTATTATAATGACTGAGTGCGGAATAATACGATGCAATTTATGAAGTTAACAGTTCAGACCAATTTACAATTTGTTCTTTATTCAAAAATTCACTACAAGAAAATGTTCCATTTTTCCAACATTGCCATCCACATATATTGATAGAATGGGAAACAATCTCACCCCCTGTCAAATTTGACCCTTGGATCTGCACTGGACTTGGCACAGAGAGTGAGTACTGATAGAAATAGGAAGAATAGAGTGCCTGCTAGACAGACATGGTACACTGCAGAGTATCCTAATACTCGTCTGCACAGAGACCCCTCCTGCACTTGTGTTTCCTCACAGAAGTCATAATACAACGCTATCTAAACAGAAAAAAACGGTGTCTGACAATTCAGACGACAGCTATTAAGACGAGAACAGTTTTTGAATGGACATTACGACACACCATTCTACTATTCGCTACACACAATTCACAATCGTATATCTGAGAAATATCAACCGCACAAGCTCAAAACGCAGATAAATGAAAATCAATGGAAGTTTTGAAAAAGAAAACAGAATAGAACAGAAAAAACTCATAAGACTATTTTGACCACAAAATCAAAACGACGGCGTCCCTCATGATGGACGGCCCGAATGTTAGAAATTTGTTTTCAGATAATTTCAGCCAATCAGAATTGAGCAGTCAAAAATCTGAAAGAAATTGCGAATATCTCAAAGAAAGCAAATAAAACCAGGCCATTAAAATAAATATTGACCAGTTAGAACATGAGCAGATACATTAACTTTCAAATATTGTAAAATCGCAGTCGGGTATTGGAAAAACCCTAAAACACATTTGAAAAAATGATTTTTTTTTTGGTATATCTGCACGAATTGTCATTTTCTGTTCATAATGACTTCCGTTTTGTGCACAATTCGTTTAGAACAATCTAACAATTCTGATTGGTTGAAAGTTTTCTATTATTCCGTCCCTCCATCATGAGAATACCCAATCATAACCAAAGTTTCCGTCAGTACTAACTAAAATATGTCTTTTCTGTTAAACGGTCCAAAAATGATTTTTTTTGATGATCTCAAAGTTTAAAACATAGCCAATCAAAGCTTGGAAAAGAGAAATGAACGCTAGTAAACATTAAAAAACACCGACTTTCTTGAAAAATCTCAACTTTCGAATTTCAAAAAAAAATAGATGCCTTTTAAGCTCTTTGAACTTCTAGGACAATTTATGATTGGCGCTTTTTTGAAAAAATGAACCCAACTTGAGAAAACGGGATCAATAGGTAAAGTTTTTATTCCGCTGGGAAATCTTAAAAATAAATTCCACTTTAGAAACAAGAAATCTTTCACATTTATTCGCGCCATTTCACGTTCGTATTTGGAGAGTGCTATTCACGTCACTTTCAGCAGATGAGTTTCAATCGAACTCAATAAGTGCATTATATCTAAGTGCATGAATATTTTAAGACTTTTTCCTGAAAACAAAAAAACAAAAAAAAATCAGCAAGACCTATGAAAAGTCTTAGCTACGTTCATTACTCTTAATCAGAATGCTCGAATCTGATAGGTTGAAAAAATTTCCAATAGAGCATTATGGTCTCAAATTTAGATAATAATCCTCGAATCTGATTGGTTGAAAAACAAATCGAGCGAATGCAAATACTAATTTGGTTATTTTGGGCCGTTTAACGGAAAATACCCAAAAATGGAATGGGAAACGGGATTTACCTTTTCGAGCCACTCTTCCACAGGTGTGCTGAGTAGGATCATAGAGAGGAGAGCGATGAGGGAGAGCATGGTGGCATACATGAGTCTAGTTGAGGTGGAGGCCTTCACAGATGGGAGACAGGAACAGCAGCAGGAACAGATGGAGGAGCCCACGCAACAAGCCAACTGGGCGGCACAACACGTGCCCAACACCAGCCCCATCTCTACTTGCAGTTAGAGGACGTTTAAGAAGTATAAAATTTAAACCACTGATCAAACAAATGAAAGGAAGGAGACGATAATGATAAAGGTAGTGTACCGATTAATTAGGTGTAATGTTTCTTAAAACAATCGCCCCGTCAAATAACAAGTGATAGAAAGTGGAAAAGATATTTGAATTGAGAAAATATTAACAAAGAAAAAGTAAATAGGTGTCAGTCAGGAACACCGAATACCAGAAAAGCATAAAGTGGCAATGCAATGAGCAGGTGTACTACATTGGTTGCAAATTTGAGTCAGATAATTAATTTTTCTGTCGTAAATAGAAATCAGGAAAGAAAACGATAGAATAGTGGATCGAAACTCGAATGGAACAGCTGATCAAAATCAGAGCGACCAGTTACTTCACAGTTTCAAAGCATGGTTTCTGAAACACAGATTTCGAAGTAACAAAATAGCAATTTATATCTAGAGATTCAAAATCTTTCTTTCGTATATTTTAAACTGAAATTAAAACACTGACAAATACTTAAAGGTATTTTAAAAATTAATACACGATGGTTACTCGGTCATTTATTTGAAAAGCTAAGGTCATCTCTTATTTGTGTCAAATCAATTCTAAAATCACGTCGAGCTCGCTCGTCATACAATTAAATTTAAAACATCGTCAGCAAATGTTGAATTTACCTGTGCGTCTAAACAAATAATCAAACCAACTCAAAAACTACGACACAATTATTATATAATACCTCAAATTACATGATTCATCGATCGACCGACCAGTCTTCGGTTTTTCAAATCAATCATTTACTGACCTCGAGCGGCGTCGTTACTATTACGACTGTTCTCGTGGTGACTATTTATTGCATTATTACTATTATAACTAGCAGGTTTTTTGGTATTAGCATAACCACTTCTGCTAGTTTTTATAACTTCCTCGTTAAACTTCTCTTTCATCTGAGTAGAGAGCAAGTTGTTGGCTAAAAATAGCAAAGCCACTTTGCATATGATAATCACACTATTATCCTGCAGCCTTTTTCGATTCCCTGGCAATACCACTTTTCCGTCTATAAACACGGGTCGTTTTCCTTGGTTCATAAAAGCGAATGTCCCACTTGGCAGAAGTGTGATGGTAGCTTGAACCCTGGATATCTTGTGAGAGGGTCCTTCTAGACTGAGATCTACATCTACTCTATTGTCTTTGCAGTTTCTGCCAAGTGATATGGCCCGTGACTGCATAAGGAATCTAAATTGAGCACAAAAAAGTGATTAAAGATAACGATTTAAGATGAAGACACAAAAAAACTTCAATTTTGAAAACATAGTCAACTGGCAGTTGGAAAAGAGTAATGAACGCAAGGAAATCGAAAAAAAATAGATGACCTTAAAGCTTTTCGAATTTATAGCAACTGAAAAAATGAAATCTTTCAAAACTTCATTTAACTTAACTCGCCTAACAAACAATTTATGACGGACACTTTGGTACTAGTTTACTTGTTTGGTCCCTCAAAATGCTAATAAAAACCGAGGTACTTCTGTGGCTAATTCTAACAGTAAGCATTTTTAATTTTCTATGTTGCTGTAGAAACGGCCCTGGTTAATCTTGCCGGTACAAAACGGGTGACCAACCCCAAGGCGTAGGTTCAAATCCCGTGCTGGTTCTTCCTTTTAGGAAATAAGCGTGACCAATCATCTAAACTAGGAAGTAGTTTGGTCACGGGACCAAACAAGTTAACTAGTACCGACTCTTTGTTTGCTAAAAATACCCAAGTTTGAGAAAATTGGATCAATTGGTTAAATTCTTATTGCGCTGGGAAATATGATAATTAATTTCCATTTTTGAAATTAGAAATCGATCACGTTTTTTTGTGAACTTAACACTTTTGCTGTTCGATAGTGGAGTTTGGCTTCCTTTTAACAATGGACATGTACTGAACTCTAAAAGAAATCACAAGTCAAACCACGAAAAAACAAAATTGAGCGTGAACAAATTTCAAGACTTTTTCCTGAAAAAAAAACCCAAAAAATAACAACAAGACCTACAAAAAAGTACTCACTACGTGCATTAATCTTAAAAAAGACCTTTCATGTTAAGAAACTGTTGAAACTAACTTGAATCAATACGGAATGGAAAATTCTAAAAATTCGCACGATTCTAAAAATGCTACAGAATTCCCCCTGCTAGCGCAAGGTAGAAAGGTCTATTTATAACTGAAAAAAAAAAGAAATCCTTCAAAACTTCATCTAACTTAACTCGCCTAATAGATCTTCCGCGCAGTAGAGCATATGTACAATCGTCAAAATCAGACATCTTCGTTCCAGTAGTCTGACCAAGCAGGAACTGCCACCGAGGCAACTCAGTCTCCAGTGCTTTGATCTCTTCGTGCGCTCTTATTTCGGCCAATTGAATTTCGTTTTGAATCACTGGATCTGTGAACTGAACTTTGTTGATATTTTCACTTACTTTTTCACGTAATCTTTCTTCCACTTCTGGGAAACTCTCGTGACTAGCTTGATTGTTTACGCCTTGATTTGCTAATAAATTAAATCTCCTTAATAATAACCAGTGCTTGCGCAACGTTTTAGCCGTTCTACAAACATGAAAAGTATTCCTGTGCTTGACAAGTGCAGCTTGAAAAGCATCTAAACACGGAAGATTGTTTGAATTAATATCACACAATATTTGCTCTTCAGCATCCGAAAAAATCGCCTTTGACAAAACTCGTCTGCGAATCATAATCGGCATCTTTTTGATCCGATCGTGAACGTATTTGGAGATGATTGAGTCGTATAAAATTGACTCCCATCTTTCTTGAATTTCAGTTAAAGTGAAATGCGTGGAAAACTTGACAGACGCGAATACTGCCAGCAAATCACTCGTTTGAATAACAGAATCAATTAAAATGAGATCATCTTCGGAACGCCAAATACTGAAACACAGTAAAAGTAACACCGTAAACCTATCAAGGCAAAGATAGTAAGTTAGTCAAAAAAGAACCGACGCAGTCGAAAACAATCTGTTTGCATGAGCGAAGCTTTGACCCCAACCAAAGAATGCCTAAAATTTTAAGGTTAACTATTCCAGAAGGCAAAGTATTTTCACAGGTCAACACAGGTCTTTTTCATGAACCAAAACTATCCAACCGAAGGATGCATTTCCGCCGAGTAGAAAATAAAAGAACTTTCATTGGTCAACACAGGTTCAGTTGTACTAGACAAAATAGTCAACATACAGTTGCAAAAGAGTCAAGGAACGCAAGAAAATAAAAAACAGACTTACTTGTACTTTTTTTGAAAAAATCTCATATATTGAATTTCAAACAATAAATAGATGGCATTTAAACTCTTTGAATTTCAAGCACACTTTATGATTGACGATTAACATTTTTTTGCTAACATTAATAGAATTTGAAAAAAACGGAGTTTTTTTTCGCTGGGAAATCTTAAAATTAAATTCCACTTTCGAAACTAGAATCAGATCACGTTTCTGTGACCTTTACACTTTCACTGTTTGATTGTGGAGTTTTCTTTCCTTTTGACAATGGAAATGAACTGAACTTAAAAAGAAATCATAAGTCAAACCGAAAAAAAAATTAGCCTGAAAAAAAAAACAATAAAAATCATCGCGACATATTTAAGAGTCTGAACTACTTTCATCGACTCTTAAAAAAATGAAAATCAAAAATCAGAAGGCTAGACTTTATCATTGGTCAACACAGGTCTGTTTTTCATCAACGAACACAATTCAAATCCTCCTGTCATAAATACCTGAGAAAGCAATTGGAGAAGACCAGATTTTATACCAAAACTCCGAAAAGACAAATTCAGAAAGGGCGGTTTAAATTCAGAAGCTTCATCATTGGTCATACCGATCTGTTTATTTTTCGACCATACAATCCAAATTAAATACCCTGCTTGCGCCAAACAAAATATGAACGATCAAAATCAAAAACTTAGATTTATCATTACTCAACACCAGCATGAATTTAAACAAGGAAATTCCGAGCAATTACCAGCAGAAGGCTAGGTTTAATTTTGGTGGAAATAGAACTGCTTCACGTCAGCCGAAACAATTCCAACAACACAGAACTCATGTCAAAATAAAAAGAATTTCATTAACTTGGAGATAGGAGTCTGATTCAGAAACATCAGAAAACTAAGTTTTACAATTGGCATTGGACATAGATCTGATTTACATCAAACAAAAAAAACCAAAACAAAAACAGATTCAACACAGAAATCATGTCAAAATAAAATTAATTTCATTAACTTGGAGATAGGAGTCTGATTCAGAAACATCAGAAAACTAAGTTTTACAATTGGCATTGGTCAACATAGATCTGGTTTACATCAAACAAACAAAACCAAAACGAAAGCAGATTCAACACAGAAATCATGTCAAAGTGAAATTAATTTTATTAACTTGGAGATAGGAGTCTGATTCAGAAACATCAGAAAACTAAGTTTTACAATTGGCATTGGACAACATAGATCTGATTTACATAAAACAAACAAAACCAAAATAGATTCAACACAGAAATCATGTCAAAATAAAATTAATTTCATTAACTTGGAGATAGGAGTCAATAAAAAGCTTGGATTCAATAAAAACGACAAGGAAAAATATTTTCAGAAGGCTAAGTAATATCGGGAGCAAAACAGGTCTGTTTCTATGAGCCAGAAGAATTATAGGAAATGAAATACCAAGAACACAATGAAAAAATTCAAAAGAAACATTAGATGGCTAGATTTTATCATGGGTCAACACAGGTCCGTTTTTCATCAGCTGAAAGAAATAAAGCCAGGGAAAATTGATATGGACACAATTAATTGAAGGTTATAGGCCAACACAGCTCCGCTTAGCATCAACAAAAACCGATAAGGAGAAAATTTTTTCGGAAGTCTAAGTCTTATCAATTTTTTTGCCCGTTTTTATCAGGCAAAAGAAACTTAAAAAAAACTAAATTCCATGAGAACAAATAAAACTCAGAGCCGCAGAGCATGAAAACAAACGATGAGGAAATTTTTTTATCAGAAAGCTAAGTCTTATCAGTGATCAACACAGGTATGTTTTTCATCAGCCAGCTAAAACAAATCAAGCAAGAGCAGTTTGACATTGATACGATTAAACGAAAATTATAGACCAACACGGTTAGCATCAATAAAAACAATAAGGAAATTTTTTTTTTCAGAAGGCAAAGTAATATCAGTGATCAAAACGTGTTTGTTTTATCAGTCAATTGACTCCTAAAACGAAACTTCTAGGTGATTTTTAAAAATCAAAAAAAAGGTAGGCTGTTTGAAAAGGATGATTTTGATTGAAAAATATTATATGGCTAGATTTTATCATGGTTGAACACAGGTCTGTTTTTCATCAGCTGAAAGAAATCAAGCAAGAGCAGATTGACGTTGATGGATAAAATAAAACTAATAGGTCAACACAGATTCGCATAGCATCAAAGCAAACGAAGAGGAAAAAAATTATAACGTAAGGCTAACTCTTATCAGTGAT